AGCAGGAAGCAGATTTAAGGGCCAGATGGGTTTTATGTTTGTTCAGTTTGTTGGGTCTGTGAGCAGGCTAATGCAGGGAGCTAGGGGGAGGAGGCTGGCTTTGTCTTAGCTTCGAATGTGCCAAGATCGGTAGTTGTTCCGGTATTTTGCAGTCCGTGTTGTAGGCTCGCTCCATCTGTGAGGGCCTTCTTGCTCCACGTGCATGCTTGATACTTGACTTGCTGAGTCCAGCCTCTGTCTAACATTGCAGACATGATCTATGTTTCCGGTGGGTTTGATGGAAGCCGACGTCACACCAGTATGGAACGATACGACCCGAACATTGATCAGTGGAGTATGCTGGGAGACATGCAGACAGCACGGGAAGGAGCAGGGCTTGTTGTAGCTAATGGAGTTATCTACTGCCTCGGTAGGTACCCTTAAGACCTCTAGGCATTCTGCAAATACTTGCTTTTTACAGACATGACAGTGCAGATGCAGGAGCACCAATTGCATCATGTCCAGGTTGGAAGAGAAGGTTTAACTTCACTGCGTTGAGCACTGCACAGCTCCGTCGGCGAATGCAGCCTGCTCTCACTGTTACCGTCGCAATGGCTGAGACTGGAGCTGCCACATGACTGCAGTAAACGCTGTCAGAGGCAAACTGGACACAATCAGCCTACATTTGAGGGACGGCTGAAGCGCGGGGGACGAGCAGTGCCGGCTGAGGTTTGCAGGGACTAGGCAGGGGCTAAGATGCCCTAGAGATGAAGCAGATAGCCGCAGGACAGAGGGTGCATCTGCTGCACACAAACCAATGTGGGCTTCGTGCTCCAGAAATGTATCCTGAGCTGTATGTGTTCCAGCTCCTTTCTGTAGCACTCCTTTATTTTCAGAGACCCACGCCAGCTGTGAATACGGCGAGAGTGCTAGAGGGCAAATCTCTCTGAAGACTTCAGTAAGCGTGTTCTTCCACACACCTTCTGGGCCCCAGAAAAGGCAGGCCCAGCACTGTACCCACATTTGTTACAGTCCTGGTCCTGGGGAGTCACAGATATTGGACACTGGTTTATGGGTTTCACTTCCCTCTCCCAAATTCCCCTTCCTCACGCTGTCCCCCGAGGCAGATGCCAGCACGCTGCTCCTTTGCTGAAGCTGCACAATGAGATTTCTTGGCATCCTCTTGTGAAACAGCTCTTTGAGACATCCCAGCCTTCACTGCGTAGCCGCATAGTGTCAGCTGGCGGCTGCAGCACACAGACCCCGAGCCACGTCTGGAAGCTGTACATCTGCTTTAGCAGGACGGCATCAACATTGGCATCAGCATGCTCAGGGGCAGCTCCGGGCAGCGTGGTGCTAACCTGGTTGTACTGGTTTGGAGAGGTGATGCCCTCTCCCAGCACGGCCCTGTGCAGCGCAGGGGCAGAGCTCGCTTTGAGCTGGCTCCAGTCTGGCATTGCGAGCTGCAGAGATCCTCTTTGTTCTGCCAGCCCCGGCGTGCTGCGCGTTGTGCTGATTGCAGCGCAACACTGTACTAAGGATGAACCAGGCACGTTATTGCTCTCTACACAGAAAACATTTTCCAGAAGTCAGACCCATGGTTTGCTCCTGTATTTTGTTTCAGGTGGCTATGATGGGCTGAACATACTGAATTCTGTAGAGAGGTATGATCCCCACACTGGACACTGGACAAACGTCACCCCGATGGCCACTAAGCGCTCAGGTAAGAGCCCACAGTGCCTTGAGGCCAAAATGTTTTGTGCTGCACTGAGGACGCAGTCGCTGCTGGCTGTCCTGCTGCCCTGGAGGATGCTGACCGGCCCCAGTGGATGGTTTGGCTTTGAGAAGGGATGATTTTAGGACGTGCTGACTTAATTCCCCAAGAGAAAGATTAATTTTCACATGCCTGATGTCTCCATCCCATGCTAAGATGGTATAGAGGAATGTGTGTGTGGATTTATAGGTTGCAGGGAGGGAGAGGAAATCTTGTGTGACTTCCCTAACTAGGAACAGCGCACGGCTTGGAGAAAGGCTAGCGAGGAACAAACTACAGACCGTAGTGCAAGGTAATGGGACAGTTTGCTAAGTCAGTGCTCGTCAGCTGCACAGGACACGGCAAAGGCAGGAGCGCTCCAGCAGGCTGCTCCTTCACCTGCACTCCGCTTTGTGAAGTGCTGGGGCAGCAGTAACACGGAGAGCAGCACTGCCAGAGCAGCGTCACGCTGCAGCAGTCTTATGCTAATGACTTGAAACATGGGGCAGTTGCACATCAGTTATCCCCCACCAACTCTTAGTTTGTCTTTCCTGCTTGGCGCCCTACCTGAGCTTTAACTTTGACAGCTGTATCTAGGAGAAAAATACAGTTTAAATCCTACTTTTGGAGTAACTTTCTGTCTCAGCTCTCCGTCATTTCTCAAAGGAGCTCCTGTGGGGCTCGTGCAGCTCCTGTGTGCTCAAGCGTTGGCCCTTTGCTACTGCATTGCGCCTCAGACTGCCCGCCCCGGACCTTCATGGCCATGCTAGCGAGCAGCCGTGGCCGTGCTCATCCGTGTGTGGATGGGCAGGATGCTCAGAGCCCCCGCAGCTTTGTGGTTCTCAATGGAGTAGTGCTGCTGTGCTTACAGGCCCTCTTTCAAAACCCTTTTGAAGTTGCTTTTTCTCTAGTTCTTTCAATGAGCCAGCAGTGTGCTCAGGTGGCCAAGAAGGCCAACAGCATCCTGGCTTGTATCAGGAATAGTGTGGCCAGCAGGAGCAGGGAGGTGATGGTCCCCCTGTGCTGGGCACTGGTGAGGCCGCCCCTTGAATGCTGTGCTCAGCGCTGGGCCCCTCACCCCAAGGCGGCCATGGAGGGGCTGGAGCGTGGCCAGAGCAGGGCAGCGAGGCTGGGGC